CCCTTTCCATATACTAACGGGGTGGCATCACACTGGATGACATAACATGGATCGAGGTTACATGGCCCACCTACACCTATGAAAAAGAAAATCCTCATTACCAACTGAGTCATTCCTCTTAGCAGGCCAGCTGCTCAGCAGAAGCAGTACAGAAAATTCTACTACTGAGAATCCTAGTCCCAGGGATTTTTCTTATGGAAACATGACAAAGAATTTAATGAAGGCTGCTTGTACCACTGATCCTTGAGAAATGGATGGCTGACAGAGGACAGGAATACCATAGCAGAGCAGCAGCAGCCATATCATAATTGTAATTAAACATTTCTTTTCTCATACACTGCAAGGATGTAGATCAATGTTTTTCCCCAAAATCTTAAGAGCTAATAAGTTCAGTTACACAAAAAGAATTATGTTCTTCCCGAACAAGTAGGAAAATTCATATCAAAGCAAGGCATAAAGTACTAATTTTTATAATCCTTTCTTAATTACTCATTTTCAACCTAGCACATTAAGTGCCCAAAACTGAAAATAATACATTAAAAAGAGTTCAGTTACAGGAAAGGTTACCACATGTTCTTAATGCTTCCTTGTCCATAAAGCAATTTGGTTTTGCTACTGTTAAAGCCACTGTTCTCGAGGTCAGAACAGGTAAGAAAATTGAATGCTAACATTTTCAAACTGTCTACTAGGTTTTGGGTTTCTCCTCCTGACAAATAGTATTAATCTATGTTTACTGATTAACAGCATTTATTTTCAAAACAGAACTTCCAGAGCATTTTAACTAATGAGGTCACAAAATCTGAAGTATAGAACTGCTACAAAAATACACATAAGATATAATACTAATCCATCTTCACCAGCATTATTAAAACTTGTAGTCTTATTAAGTTTCAAAACATCTGGTGATATCCTGAATTTCCTAGCTTGTGAAAAATTCAGTACTTTAAGTCCTAACTCATGGAAGCCGGATACCTGGTCATAAAAAAGACCTTTCAGTGAATCCTTGTCTTCAGAAGGTCTTCCTGTTTTGCATCGGAGACTCCACAGCATTTCCATGATATGTACCCAAATTCTTAGCCTGCATTATTTCTGATGAAGATGAAGTCAGTAATCTCTCCACTTATAATGTCTAAATTAGGTTACGATAAATCATGGATTTATGACAAATGAGATAAGCATTCCCAAAGTATCTTCTGGCAAAATGCTTTTTGACTGGAATTTCGCCAGATTTTTATTTGTCTGCAAAATTGTCAGTCTATAGTGTACAGACATTATTTACGTTGTCATACTACACAAAAAATACTTTGATATGCAGCTCTTCCCATTTGTATACATTGTGAATGAGTGACTGTCCAACTTCTTTTTATTTGGGATCATGAACGTCCATAGAGGCAACTCTTACTCTGTGGGTTTTGTTATAATGTTTCTGGAGTTTTTCATTCTGTCACCTAAAAGGTAGGGAACCTTGCTTCAAACTATGTTTGCTGAATTTTAAAGACAGTATTAAAATAACTGCTTTTTACAGGTTAAGATTACTGGCTTGGATTTTTTCTACACAATTTAACTGATTGCTCAAAACATGATGAAACAAAATTTAAAAGCTTCACTTAGCTTCTGAAGTTGGATTTAACATGTCATATTGCTGTATTACAGGGAGACCACAACTCCCCAGTGGTGCAATGCTACCAGTAAGAACTATCTAACAAGACTGATGCCCAAATTGGCTAGGACCACATAAACCAATGCTACAAAACTGTTGCCATTTCTACATGCTGAAGCCCACAAGAACTACATAAAAACCATTTACAGACAAACAAAGAAGTTATTAACAGTGTACTTCCTTTTTATTTTTACAATGCAGAGAAGAAAAGAGCAAGTGATGCTAATCTCAGGAAACAGTTTCACAGTGTGGCAGAAATATAATTTCTATTAAAAAAGCACAAATCGTGCCATGCAGTGCTTCCAAATTCACAGAAAAAAATATTATAAAAATGAGGTCCTGCTGTGGCAAATACACCAGGCAATTTTTGTTCTCTGAACAGTTACTCAGGGTAGGGTGTGACTTTTCTCTGATATAGCTGTGCTAGTACAACCCCTAGTGTGGACACAGTTTACTGCCATGAAGGCATTTATGCCCATATAACTTATAAAGCTTGTTCCTAAGAAGGAAAACTATTAAGACACTGTTACTTCATCACAGCTACATCCACAATGGGAGGGCTGAGAAAGAGAAACAGAGGGCAGTAGGTTATGCTACTTTACAACATATTTAGCCAAAACAGATGCAGTTTTTGAGCAGAGAAACTGTGTGGTATATCTATTTGCCCGCCCTCTAATGTTAAACAGGATCATGATGGATGATCTTAGAAAACACTTCATTCAATTTAAATGGTAATATTGCTTCTTAACTTTTATTTTTAAAAGTATGAATGTTAAATATTAATAACAGATAGTCACACCAAGATGCCAGTATTTGCTATTTGTCCTAACTGAGTACTAAAGAGAAAAGAGATATTAGAATAAAAGAGAGTAAGACCAAAGATACATACTACCTTCAATTTTCCTAAATGATACTAATTAAGTTTTGAAAAGTTTATAAGTATCACTGTATGATAAATACATACCTGCCTTTTTCTGACATTTAAAGTATATGTATCTGAATGCTCCTAAATTTTACATGTAGGCATTTCTGCCTGTTCTGACACACCTGAAAATCAATGATCCTTTTATAAAAGTCACTACATATAAGCTAAAATACATCTTCAAATCTAAAATCTATACACAGCACAATTAAAAATACAAACATACCTCAAGAAACAATAAACTCACTTCCAGTATCTCAAATTACAATCTGAATCATGATTATTTGCTCGCAAACAGAAAAATGCACCATTTAAAATAGAATAGCATGAAAATACTAATATATTATTGTCTCACTACCTTAAAAAAATAAATATATATTTATTATGAACAGATGGTGGCCAAGGAAGGTATTGACTCTGCTTCTTAGACAGAAGGTCAGGTCATGGCTGAGAGACCAAAGAACAATTACTGTTTGCTATTCAGTGCCATGCAAGATGAAATGTTTTAGGTTTTTCTTTAAATACAAAGCCAGATGCGATTGAGCTGATTTCACTTCATTGAAATGAAGTAATTTTCAAGGACTTCTTAACATTTGATAAAATTGGATTTAAGGAAACAAATAACCCCACCTCAAGAATAAAACCCTAAAATGCACCCAGACTCTTTTTAGTTGCCTTTTAACATGTTAAATAATACTAGTACCTATTCAGAACTTCCTTGGTTTCTAGAGACACAGCTATAAAACAGCTGCTAGATGCTTAGCCTGAGAATTTCAAAATAGTTACCACTTTCCTTTTTTTAAGGAATCAACAAACAAATTAGAACAATTTACATAATTACTGAATTACTCTAATGTCTAACAATCTTTTCTGATAGGAAATCTCCTTCCCATCACTTCACTTTTATTATATCAAATTATAACAATCACATTCTGGTGTATTAATTCCCATACTGAATAAAATACCAGCATGTCGATACATGAAGTTAAAATATTTTGTTAAATTCTGCAGTTTGTTCAAAAGGCAATTCTAAAGCAAGTTGGAGAACAGCATTCAAAATCCAAGATACTTCTTCAAATATCTTATTAAACACATCCTGTTTTATTTGTACGCCAAGATTATGCCAACTCACTTATCTGTGATATCTGTCAAGACACAGACAACAAGCCTGCTTTTGTTTTTTTAAAGTGTCCTTAGGCCTAAAGGATACAAGGAGTGAAAAAAAAAGCCAACCCTGACAACAAAATGCTTTTAGGCTCCTGTTTTTCTGCATTATGATTTTCTAAACATACTGAAGAGTTATTTTACCTAATAAACTTATCTTTTGGATTAAACTTCTATTTTTTATTATAATTTGAATTAATGTTGTTTCCAGCCTAAGCTCTTTATTAAGTTAATAAATCTACTGTTCTTCATGAAAGTTTTGAGAAACTGGTAAATAAAAATGTAATTTCAGAAATGCTGCATTTTCCCCTACATATTCTTATACAGGGACTGACTTGTTCACTTATTTACAAGAATAATTATTTAAAACCTGTTGGATAGGCTGCTCCAATAACAAAATGCATCAAAAAAAATTATCCTCATGTGCATCTTATACATCTGTGTTTGAGAACACATCCACTGTCATGTGCAAATCAAAACTTATGAAGGAATACCTGGAAGTTTGAATGCCTAGAGAAAAATGCATAGAACCACAATAAAAAAGGGCACATCTTTTGAACTACACCTGTTCAAGCTGTCTGCCAAGTATGTCACAGGTTACTTTAAAAATCCTCCTTCCTGCATGGGAAGTTTTATCACAGATTACTTGTAAGGCATACACTCTTTGTTTTCTTTTATTATTATGAAAACAATTTTAGATAATCAACAATTAATACCTAGTTGAATTTTTATAATAGTTATTCTTTCTATAAGGTAATTTTTTTGTTTTATTTGGGGTTTTTTTTCAAACTTTTCCATGAATCCCAGGATTCAGTAACCTTGAATCTTTAAAGAAACTGGGGGAAAAAAAACAAATTAATTTTTGGTATAGTTAGGTTATACTTAGTCTTCAATGTTTTGTCAGGCTGCATGTATATGCAATTATTTGTGGATTTATTTGTGAGAAAAAGTGTATAAACAAATGTATATAGAAAATACAATTTAAGTACATTGTATGAATACATATGATAGAGTAATTCTATATGAAAGCATGGGATGAGTATTACATAAAACTGAACACACTAGGGCTGAAAATAAGAATAAGATAGCAAAGAGGTATTTATTTAACAGTAATAGCTGGCTTGTTGCCATTAATTTAGAAACCATCTAACAGTAATAAATGACCACGATTAGAAAAGCTAATCATTGCAGCTTCCGAAATAACCCTACTTAGGCTTCTAATAACTGCAAAGTTATAGCAGTATTATCTCTTACCTGGTCCTTAATTTCAAGCTCCCTTATAGTTTTTGTTCTGTACTCTCTGAGCTCCTTTTCTGCCTCATCCTTCTTCATTTTGGTTTCATTCAACTGATAGCGCATTTCTCCACACACCTGTTAGATTACACAGAAAACATGATCTGTAGCTTGAAGAATGCACAGACCGGGGTTTGCAATTAGATCTTTTGCTGCCCTCTAGAGGTCATTTAGATGCAACATATTTTATTTTAAAGATATTTTAAGACTACATATGGTAAATGTTTTTCTATAAAAAGGTGGATCTGAATTCTCTATATAGTAATTAACTTTGAAATATGCAGTGCCTTCTAGATTCAATTATATTTGGATCAAGATTTTGCAAAGTATAAATATTTATATTGTAAATATAAGTGCTACTAAATACAGTTAAACTACAGTTGCTGGTTTCATACTCTTCTCCCATTCTCTCTAAAATCCCAAGAAAGTCTATGTCAACGCTTTCAAAATCTAGAAGTAAAAGATCTATCTCACTCTTATATGAGGACATAGTTTCTTATCTTGCCAATTTCTGTCTTTCTAAAGAAAGAAAATGTTTAGATGGTAATACAATAATTTTCAAAGTTGGATCAGAGTATTATAAACTTACTACAAACTGAAGATGAATTCTTTAAAAACAGCACCCAATTCAAATGTATGCATGGGCCAGAAGAAAGGAATCAATGCAACATTTAAGAAAAACTAGTATCATTTCCACAAAGGCAACAATCATTCTCTGCTTTTGGGATGTTCATTATGTTCCCTTCTCATTTCTTTCCACCTGAGGGCAGCTCAACTTCAGAGGGTCTGAGGAGGGGCTAGGGGAAATAAAGAGAAAAAACCAAACCCATGCCAGTTCCTCCCACATAGCTTTCGCTACTCCTATGCAGGGGCATTATTCTCCAGTTCCTCAGTCCAAGACTTCCATTTGGTCTTATTTGTTGGGAATAGAGAAGGATAGTGGACAAGCTGCCCTCTTTTTATCCTTATCCTGTACAATCACCATCAATTCATGCATGTTCATTTCACCATAATTAACCAAACAAATACATGCACATTCCCTAATAAGAACACAAACGTGTCTACTCACAGCTAGTCTTAGAGAACTTTCTTTCCTACTCACTCTGCTCCTCTTTCCCACTTACATTCTTTTCATCAGACTTGCTTCCTAAACCCGCACATTTTTCATTTGCTTCAATAATCCTTTTTGCTTCTCAACAATCTACTCACACACAATTTATGACCCAAATTAATTAGTTTTTCAGTTTCAAAACTCCTCAGTACTTTTTCTTCTTAAAAAAAAAGGTACAGTAAGCAGCATCACTTATAAATTCAAAGGACAGCTTCTGAATTTTGCCCTATTGCAAATAACATAAGGCAGCAAATGCTCTGAAGAATGGTCAATTTCTAAAGCACTTTTTTTCTTAATAATCAAACATCATACACAACTAAAAAAATCCTAGGATGCAACTGCATAAATTGCAAACCCTGCCTTTCCATGTTCTCCTTCCTTTAAATGAAGTATGTCACAAAGTGTGATATGTCACTTCCTCCAAGCAAAATTAAAAAACACACAGCCATCCTTGCCTTCAGCTCCCCCATACATCAGAGAAAGTGAATAATGCAGAAGAATCAGCAGATGGTGCTGTGCTAATAACGGAGTTTTCAGCCTTCTCGTAGTACAGAATGAAGGAAAAAGATTCTCACTCCCAACTTTTTTCTCTGACTTCTGGTGAATGAAGAAAAAATCCTTCAATAAAACTTGAAAGGAAAAATGTTGCTACTTGCTCTTTTTAAGAATGGCAAAACAAGTTTTGAAACAAGGAGTCAGATTCACAAGCAGACATAGATGTCACTTTCACAGCCAATGAAAATGGTCAGAGTGATACAGACAGTCCTAAAAGCTCAATGGTCAGGACCCTTCTCCAAAATGTTTGAGACTTCTCAGTCCAGAACAGGACATAAATGCAGTTTTCCAGTCTCTCCCAGGACAGTACAATAAAAAAACAATGTAAACTATTGCAAGGTGGCCAACTATTCAACTTTGTGTGGATTAGCATTAACTGAATCAGGAATTGGAACCCCAGTGTCCCTCTCTTGAGAGATTGCTTCAAAATTTATACCTACTACCTCCTTCCCTACCTCCCTGCTCGTGTTAGTGATGCTAGCCACCTGTAAACCCAGTCTGAACAACAAGAAATGTGTTTTAGAAATGTTAATCAAGCCACTTCGATATTCTTAAAATGCTCCCTCATTTGTCTTTCAGCTGAATTTTCATTACATTTTCTCATAAGTTTGAATGACTTTTTGATAAAGAATTTTCTGCTACAATATTTTTACCTAAGTCTACCAGCAGGAGCATGAGAGGAACACAGGAACTGATGGAAACCTCTTCAAAAGTCTCTAGACACCTAAAGAATTAATTGCTCCCCAAAACCTTGTAAGTAATATCTGGGGAGGTAGGACTAGCCCTAGGATCATTGGTAAGGTATATAGACATTTCAAGAGGCTGTAACAAATTTTAATTCTCATATTGTCTATTCAATAGAAATTTAGCATCCCCTCACCTTCATGAAGTTACTTTTGTAACAAAGGAATGAAGAAACAAAGCTAATAAACACTTTGTTGAAGTGTCATCGCCCAGCATACATTTTGGATATCAACTGTTATTTCATTCTCATGCTATGATCTATATTAAGGATCTAATAGATTGAGAAATATGTGCAAAATAAAGCACCCAGAAGTGATACACTCACAGATAGATGCTGAGCTGTAATTTTTAACTTGAAGAAAGATCTCTCTGTAAAATGCATATCATCAATATTAATAATCTCAAGCAGTACACCACATACAAAGTCTACAGGAAAGTACTTGAAAAACAGTGATTCAATACAGCTCCCTTTATTTTAACACTGCATATCCCAGAAGTAGCAATTACAGAACAAAGCTGAATACTGTGTTGTCTCATTCACAGCAAATGCTACTTTTAATGAAACACTGGATTACAGATTCAAGTAGTGATGTACATAGCCTGCAAAGTAGAAAGGTAAACTTTTGCATCATGTGGTGACTTGGCAGACTGAAAATTTTGTATTTTTACTTGTAAAACTGCATCACTGGGATATTCAGATGAAGTTTGTATTTATCACACATTCTTTACCAATAAAGAGGAAAATACAGAAGAAAAATCCCCTCATCTTTCAGGTCATGATAAGAAAACTCAAGCTCAATATCCATTTATACATGTGCCTACCTTATTCATCTCCATTTCATGAGATGCAAGCTGCTGTTGTGATTCTTCTAACTGATTAAGTAGAGAGTTCTTTTCCCTTGTAATTCTCTCTATCTGTGCCTCTGACATGGCCACTTTCTCAGACACGGCCATTACCTGCAAGAAACCCAAGAACACTGTAATGATACGATTTGACAAACCACAGATGTAAATCTTGTGGGACTTCCTCCTTGAAAGCAACTGCATATAGCCTAAAATACATATTATTTAAAAAATAATACAAATTTTAATATATAAAATAAAAATATGTAGTAAAACTAATAATATTAGAGTATGGGTAACTTATTTTAACAATAGGTTAATTATTTTGAATTCATTTGTCATACAGTAGGTTTTTCTGAAACTTTTCATCAATCAGACTAGTCTCCAGGAATTTTAGGTATGGACAAAGCATCAGTAGCACCTAGTTGCATCAGCCTTCCAACTGTAAGAGTAATACTTAATACCTTCTTATCCATCCTTATATAGATTGATTGAAACCAACTAATGTTCCTCCAGCTAAAGAAAATGTCATTGATCTTAATTTAGTTTTCAAGTTCAGAAAACATTTCAGCACTACAGATCAAAGCACAATGTACAAAAAATGTATAGAAATAGTATGTTAAAAATGTTCATGTACTTCAGATCAAATTGAGCTGAATTGTAGAAAAAAAAAGAAACAATAAAACAGAGACAGTGACCCTTCAGCTATTTAGCCCTGAAGCTTACTAATTTAAGTGGAAATAATGGTGTCTGACAGTTCTAGGTTAATTCACAGGAATTCAAAGTAAAACCTAGTAGATTATATATTCATAACTATTTTTCACTCATACATCCACCTGATTTATGAACCATGCCAATTCTCCCCTTTAAATAAATCACTTGATAAAGTGATAAAATATTCATCTGGAGGTTGATTTGATGCACAGTATACCATTTCTACCATCTCATAATCCTGAAACATAAAAGTAATTAATCTTACACAGGTATAAATCACACATATAGATTGATGGAATACAAAGTAATGTGTTGACATGATGGGGTGAATTCTACCAAAAAAAAAAGGTATGAAATGCTTGCCTAATAGGTTGTATTTTGGAGTGCATACTCTGCTCTAAAGCAAATCTGTGACTGAAGAACCAAATGTATAAGATAACTCCCAATAGACAGCAAGGACTAAACCAAGAAGTTGCTTAATAATGTCTCACTGTTTCCAGTGTGAGATTTTTTTTTTTAATTTCAGTTTGCCCTAGCAACAGATTTCTGATGACCATTTACAAAAGTTCAGTTGCTTAATGATCACTTAGCCCCTATCATTGTGACTAACTGCTGTTTTAATATTTGGATTCAAAGGTTTTTACTTCTTGTAGCAGCTTCAGAACATTACTCCATCATCTCATAATACCAGAAACACAACCATATCACCCTGTCTATGTAAGTAGCTGTCCAGCCATTTCCCAAGTAACAACACTACTAAACAACCTCCTCTTTTTAAAGCATTTAAATAGTTTATCCTGTTTAGTCTGTGCTCTCCAGATTTTATAAACTGCATGGCTTATTTCTAAAAGGAGCTCAAAAATATGGAAAAAGCCAACAATTGGAAGAAAAATTGTTTCCAAACCTCCACCAGAAAATGGCTGGAGGTTGCACATCAAACAAGCATAAAAACTACTAATTCATGGAGCATTTCTCTCCCTGCTCTTCATTTCTTTCTCCAAGTGCCTCACAGGCTTACTGCTGTTAGCATGAGGTTCTTCTGTAGATTGGATTAGGCAGAAAATCCTTGTTTTATACTCAGATTACATTAGCATCCAAAATTCTAAAACAAGGTTATCAAGGTTTTTTTGTAATGGTAACAGAAAAGTGATGAGGCAGATTCTCTCTCAAAGTTTATAAACATTAGTAAATGTGAGAAAAGAGATTCTAACTAATTTCTGCAGGTGGGCAAATTAAGTACATAAGATCACTCTGAAAAATATCATATTATAATGCAATTATGCTATTGTAACATTAATATATACATATATGTAAGATCAAAGTAACAGATAATCATAAAAATTGCTATGTGCTAATTCTGAAAACTTGACTTAGGAACCAAAATAATAATAATAATTGTATGTATCTAGTGCCGTCGCATAAAAGCTAGTTATTCAGACTAAAAGGATCACTTATTTACCACCATTGCTTAAGGCATTAGTAGAAGTGATGTACTAAGCTCACAAATCCAAAACTGAAACAAAATGTAAAACAAAGTTTAGAGGTTTACACACAAATAGAAAAAAAAAAACAACTCATACCATTGCTACCAAGTCCTCCCTTTCCTTCTTCATTTCCTCCCGCAGTGCTTCTTTTTCATCAGTCCTTTTACTTTGCTGGGCAGCTAACTCCCTTTCAAAACAATTCTTCTGCCGTTCCATCTCACTTTTCAGCTGCTCACACTGGACTAGAGCCTAGAAAAAAATAAAAAAAATTGAAGAATCTAAAATTTTAAGCAGACATGGTATTTATCTAACACCTTTAGAGAAACCAATTTGAGAGGACGTATTTCAGTTTTTCACATACCTATAATATTTTTACATACAATACTGTATTAGTATCTAGAATACGACTAAAAAGTTGGAAACATATATAAATATTTATATATATACACGCCGTACTAAAATGTATAAATCTATTAAATTTTAAGTTATGATGGAGATAGACGCATTTTTCGGGGTATATTTTCCAAATAGGTAGCTGTTCTTCTAAAATGAAGATTATTGTTTCCCCTGCATTTATAATTCATTATTGCACATCACTAGAACCAGACTAATATTTGACTCCTTGCAACCACTGTGATTACTGTGTAGCTGCACAGCTAAAAGATGAATAATGTATGCACTTGTACTTGTTTTCTTCCTGAAGTGAATTGCTGAGTGCAGAAGGTGAAGAAGAAACTTGTAAGAAACAATTTATTTACTTTAGTTTCAGGTTTGTCAAATAAAGAAGATTAATTTTACAAAACACTGGTAAGTGCCCCGCTTAATTTGAAGTGCTACAACACAGATTATAGATTTGTTTTCTATCAAAATAGAGAAACATAAGTTCATATGCAAGAAGCACAGTAGACACTATCTTCTGAAAAAGCTAGGAATAAAAATATGCTGATGAATCCCTGTCAAAGGGATAGGAGAGTTAAGTTAGTCTAAATCAGAAATACACTACTCCATTAATACATCAAAGTAGTCAATGCACCCTGAAGGCTGCCTGCCAGCCCCTAAGTAAACTAGGTTTCATTTCATCATTTCACTGATACTCAGCATATCCTATCTCTAGGAAGCTAAAGTAACCTCCTTTTAGGAATCCTACCTTCTTATCTTTTATTTCCAAATTAGTGGGTTTCTTAAGTTCTTGTTTTTCTTTTAGTCAAAGTCAGTCCCCTATATGCAATTTCCTTGGTGTTGGGCTGTTCATGAGGGAAGCAAATTAAACCATAATTTTTAAAGAATGCTCTAACAATTTTGATTAATTTATGTCAATTCTGCAGGATACTCCTCAGGGTCTCTTCCCTATCATAAGTCTGTTTTGCTGAGGGAATCTCTCTGTTGTTGTCTTGAATCCTTTTCTGTAGGAATTTAACATCAGCATAAGCAAACAATTGTCTGCATAAGACTACTGTAGTTCACTAGACAGGTAAAAAAAAAATCAATTCTAGAAGAAATAAGTTGAAAGAAGAAATGTGTATTTTGTTAGCTCCATTGTTTTAGCTACATAAGGAACAGTTCAAACAATTACTTTTCTATGACCTTTATGTTGAACATACATTAATGGATTTGCTTCAACTATGGAAGCAAACGTGAGCAGATCTCCTTGCTCTATACAATAGGCAAGAGGACAAAAAGCAAAGAGACAAGCAAAAGACAAGAAAAAAGGCACTTCACCTTAAGAGTCGAATACGACTGCAAAAAGACATTATGGTTTGCACGTACCAAGATAAACAGCAGCACATGTAAAAATGCTAAATTAATGCAGCCTAAGTAATAGATTTCTTCCTGTTCCTTCATATTACAACAGTTTTCAAGAATCGAAAAAACAGAAAAACAGACTACTACTCAGTCTGGTATAAGGGTAGCACTTCATGTGTAAATGGATGGCCAGTACTGACTCAACAGAGCTGCTTTCTCTAAGTGGCAGAAATAGTATAGGTATGAAGACCCATTTTTTTAAAGGTTCTACTAGGTTCTTACCAAGTTCTTAGGCCACATTCCTAACATAAGCTACACGGAATAAAAACTTAAAGGAATTTTATTTTAAAATATTAAAATAAATATTTCCAACACCAAATTAAAAAGAGGGAGATCAGATAACTTCATTTTATTGCACAGAGGGGAAGTATTTTGTGCAGTAAGCACGTAACATCTCTATCAGACAACTGTAGAACCCACCTCAAAAAAAAAAAGCAAGTATGCAACTTAAAACACTTATGGACAGGATGTGATAGGTGAACAGTGGGCTCAGAGGATTCTTTCTCTCTTTGTTCAATAAAAATAAGGAGCTGTAATACTCTGAAGTTAAATTTAACAACTACACAGGATTTCCACCTCTCCTTAAACGTTTCCCCACTGTTTCCAGCTAAGACCCTACACACACAGACAGACACACACACATACCCTCTTACAGTATTGGATGAATGCCAATTTGATACAAAAAAAAATCATACAAATCTGGTCACAATAAAAACAAACAGCATTCAATTAAAAAAAACCCTCTCTCAATTCCATAGTAATTCACTAATAATACAGTAGATGTCACTAAATATCAAGAAAATAATTTAGTTCAGTATCAGTTGTTTGCATATAGTAACTAAGCTAACACAATCATTAGACCAAAACTGGCTTATCATTATTACTTATGTAGCACCAAAACCCTCCTGTAGGTAGCATTAAACAGACTTTTCATTTTCAAGTTCTGTTAGCTGATGAGCAAAATTGCACTGCACTCATCTGAGGTAAGAAAAAAGTTGTTTTTAAGCATTTTAAACATTCTTTCCAGAGTAGCTTAGAAATGTGACATGAGAAATATCCTCCTATGTGTCATGAATGCCTTTTAAAATTCTACCATTCTGTTTCTATCACCTAGCTAAGACTCTGTGTCAGAATTGAAACCACAGCCTAAGAACATACCCTACAGCCTTGATGAGAATTTAAGAACTCAAATACAGAGTTCATGTTACTGGTTAGAAACAGTCACCCAGTGCAATCCTTTCAAATCTACATCATCATATTAACATGTGACAAAGGTCTTAAGCATGTATTCTCTCCTCTAACATGAATACTAATTAAATTTTGCAGTAGATCTAAATACTGAAAAGCTCCCATTTCTTGATGCATTTACCTTTGTTTTTTCTAAGTTGGCCTCTTCTGCCATTTGCACAGCTTGTTTAACTTGCTCACAAGCATTAGATTCTCTTTGCTGCATCTCTTTCATGTTTCTTCTCACGGAAACAAGTGCATCCATCAAGTCATCTCTTTCTCTGCATATAAAGAAAAAGCAGGTATTTCTTATATAACTTCTATCAAAACAACAACAACAAAACCCAACAACAACCAAGAGGTAGATCAAATATAAAATGTTAACAAACAGAAGACATTAGGCTGAGTCCAGATGGAGGCCTTTGACTAGTAGTATCCCCCAGGGTCAAGTCCTATTCAATGTATTTATCAATGACCTGGATGAAGGGATACAGTGTATCATTAGCAAGTTTGTTGATGATACAAAACTGAGAGAAATGGTTCATACACCTGAGTGCTGGGCTGCCATCGAGCGTGACCAGGACAGGTTGGAGAGCTGGGCAGGGAGAAACCTAAAGTTGTTCAACAAGGGCAAGTATAGAGTACTCTGCAGAACAACCCCATGCTTCATACAGGTTAGGGGTTGACCTGGGGGAAAAGATGTGCAAGTCATGGTGAACAACAGGCTGACTAGGAGCCAACAACGTGCCCCTGCTGCCAAGAGTGCCAATGCCATCCTGAGGTGCATTAAAGAATATTTTGGCCAGCAGGTCAAGGGAGGTTATCCTCCAACTCTCCTCTGCTCTGGTGAGGCCACATCTGGAGTACTGTATGCATTTCTGGGCTCCCTAGTTCAAGGACAAGGAATAACTGGAGAGAGTCCAGCACAGGGCCACTGATTAAGGGACTGAAGCATTTGCCCTATGAGGAAAAGTTAAAACAGCTGTGTCTGTTTAGCTTAGAGAAAAGGAGGCTGAGGAGACATTTCATCGATGTTTATGAATATCTAAAGGGCGGGTGTCACAAGGATGGGGTCAGACTCTTCTCAGTGGTGTCCACAGACAGAACAAGGTGCAATGGTCACAAATTGGTACACAGGAGATTCAACTTGAATATGAGATAATCCTACTTTACTCTGAGGGTAACAGAGCACTGGAACAGGCTGTCCAGGGAGATTGTGGAGTCTCCACCCCTGGAGACATTCAAAACCTGCCTGGATGTGCTCCTGTGTAATCTGCTCTACGGGATCCTGCTCTAGCAGGGGGCTTGGACTAAATGATCTCCAGAGACTCCTTCCAACCCCTACTGTTCTGTAATTCTGTGAAGTGAAGCAAGACTAAAGCCAGCATGAGTTAAGAGTGAAAGTATATTGGTAGCTTGGAAGATACTAAAAATATTGATTGCTTGATGACCAGTCCTTCACCTCAGAAGGATGTATCATTAGTGAAAATGCCAGTAATGACAGCAGAGGTCAAGTCATAAAAATACTGAAGTTGAGCAACAGCCAGTTTGCATTATAAAATGGGGATCCATGCTGAAAAAAACCACCCACCAAGCAACCAAAAAACCCCCAAAAAAGACAACTTTCTGGAAAAAAAAAATAGATTGAAGAAATATGAAATTACACTGTCATTAAATGTAAAATAGGAAGAAAAAGATACAAGGAAGGGTTAGATTCAAGAAGGAATTCAAATCACCAAGTATATAAAATGAAAATCAATTTTGCTGCAAACTGGAATTAAACTAAACAGTAAGACTTCTGGATTCTACATACCCTCTGAACTTCCGTTATCAAAGAAACTGAGACCTATACCAAATGGTGAAGCACACTCAGTAAAAACTGTAATACTTCACCTCTTCATTATTTTGGTATGTTGAAAGCTTTTAAATTAAGAGTATAATTATCTGAGATTCAGATGAAACTAGAGATTCTGGCTGAAAATTTTTGTGTTTCAGTTAGTTGGGTTTTTTCTTGATGTTGTATGGAACAGCAAAACAAGTAAACAAAAACAACAGTAAAAGTATTTGCCTGGGAATTATATTTTGAAATATGATTTCAACAAGACTTGTCCAAAAGTTTCTTTGAAAATCCATACCAAAATACCTTTGTTTTTAATAAGTTGCATCATAGGAATGTAGCTTTCAGATTTGGTTAAATCTCAAACCAAAATAATAGTTTAAGAATGATAAATAGGTCAGCTCAGATCTTTTATTTCAAACGGCACTAAAATACAAGATTACAAGAATGTATTGATTTTTTTGTTCATATTTTACAGTGTCTGTGATGAATAATTACTTTTCTTACAGAAGTAGATTTTGAAACATGACTTTTCAGCAACAGAAAACTTTCCTAGAAAATTCTTGGACTTGACAATAGAAAAATACATAAATTCTGGCAACAGCCATCTAATGCATAGAGATAATGCCCATTTGTCAGACTGCATGTACTATGTCCCTTCAGGATTCTTGCTTCTAACTGACCCACTACCTCATCTCCAGCAGGCTCAGTCTAAAGCTCCAGAAATCCCAAGAACCTTCTGATATCCGACAATAAATATCTGCTTAATAAACTTTGAGAAAGCTAAATTATCTGATCATCATTATGAGCAAGTAGAAAGGGCAATAGTTTTGAAGATAAGTTGTGATGGACAGTACCCCTCTCCTCTCTGGAGCAACTAAAGGCCTCATGGAGCAGTGATTTAACCTGCTCACAATGGCTGCTCCTTGTGCTTCAGGCCTTCCCTTCTTCATGCGCTAAACAACAACTATACTGCCATGCTGAAGAAATAGAGTCCAAAGTGGGAACCCTGCCATGGGAGAACCACAACATTGTTGCTGTTTCACGGAGAGACTGCAGCAAGATTTGGACTCTGGATAGTAGCTGGAGGAGACAGCGAAGAACCAATTGGAAACCTTGGACTACAAGGTAGCGAGCTATAAAAATCAGCCCCTGACCAACTGCCTTGTCCCTTTTGCCTCTTGACTGCTTGCTTCTGCCTTGTTTTTGGGGTTTGGCCTGCTTGCTGTTGGATTCTTCATCAGTCTTGGTTCCTGTCCTTCGTCTGTGGTGCTTCCCCGCTGCTTGCCTGTTTTTGGCCCAGCCGAATTCTGCTACTGTGCTCTCCCCATGGCACATGAAATTTAACCCTGTGTCCAGGGAAGGGTCGCTTGCATTTGCCATAATCCTAGACCATCTCAGGATTGGTAAGACATTGCAATTAGTCTTATTCTTCCTATTAAGATATCCCAGTCCTGTTCATACAGTCACACATACTGTGACCCCGCAGGGGAAGGCATTCACTGGGCATGTCCTCCTCCTCCCTCCTTTGAAATCTATAATGAGGATACGGGGTGTGTATATCTAGATACATACATAAATGTTAGTGTATGTTACAGTATTATAGTGTGTCTAAGTATATATTATCTTGCCTGAACCTTCCTTCCCTAATAAACCGGTTAATTCGTGAAATTCAAATTGGTGTCAGACTAAACTGTGGGTGTGGTGGGAGCATAACCCAATTATTCACCCTAAAATACAGTCCCACAGAGGCCGTTCCTCTGTGTGAGGCGACTGCCATGTGCAGACCCCTTGGCACCTTTAATTAAATAAATCTATCCAACAAGGAAGTGAGTGGCAACATCCCATCCTGACAACCTTGCCAGCTCATGACATAAGTGATTCGCAGAATTTCTTAAGAAAAAAATGTATTTTTGCATTACATATATTCAGTTCAGCCTCTATAGCTGTTTTTTAAAAAAATCACTAAATAAAAGCTACAGTTAAAAAAGCTGCAGGAAATTATTTCATTTCTTTTTACTAAAAATATCTTTTTTCCCTGACTTACTGTAGACAGGGAGGAACAATTTATCCTATGCCAAACACTTGACCTATTAAGCAAATTTGAGGGACAAAAAAAGGACTATGCTGTTGTTGTATCCTAAAACTTCCCCAAATGTAAGGAAAATAAAGCAAAGGCAGAAAAACTTTCAACTACAGAAAGGTAAGAAACTTTTGCAGTAAATAATGTATCAAAATATATGGACTTTCGTAATACTTGTTCTGACAAAGTAAAGGGTTTGTACAAAAAGCACAGGAAACAGATTACTAACAGCCTGATTATCTGGACAGCCCAAGGTATCCTAATTACAAGATAATGACTAACATTGTTTCCCAGTTAAAACAAGTAGCAAAACTACTATGGATTTCAAAGTGTTTGGGACCTAAACCCATATTCTGCAATTGATTTTAGCGTTATAACTTCAACTTGGGGGTCCGCTGTTCTGTAAGCGCACATCTCTCTGTGAATGCAACCCAACACATTGAGACTTATATGGTTTAATGTAAACAACTGTACTTTCAATCAGAAAGTAAATACCCCCAAAACCTACTTTGTTACCCTCTCAATGGTCTGCATGTGAACATTAGAATGAGTCTGCACAAGAACTGCCTCATGTTGTGCACATTTCAGACACAGGCCACCAGCGCGGCTAGAATTTGTGGCTGAAACAAGAGATTTCTGGTGTTTTAGCCTTCCTTCCAAATCTTTGCATGTCTTCTGAGATTCTGAAAGGTCTTTCCTAGAAGGAACAAACACAAAATATTACTTGAGCAATCAAGTATTTTTACAAGTTGATATGCATATGCAATATATAACTACAGATGCAACCAAAAAATAACTGTAGGAATCCCTGCAATGACCATTATTTTACACATTTCGGTAGGCTAAGAAAGACTTCCAGAAATAAAAGTTGAACTGCCGAATCAGAATTACTAATAGATTGTCAAAATTATAATGATTCGTTCCTTCCCTCTATAGACTTAGGAAAGAGT